AAGCGTTAACCACTTCCAAAATCCAGGTTCCAATCCCGTGCTTGGAATCATTTATTAAGCAAGACGGGCAAGGATCCAAAAGGCAAGTGGTTGGATGTACTCGCCCAAGCACCTTGTCCACATCATCGGGCCGCAGTAACTGAAATTCATCCAATAAATCTGGACCAGACGGCAGCGTTGGTGTCTCCTTTGAAACCTCTGAATCAATAGTGGTATCCAGCTTGTGACGAATCTGAGCGATTTTCTCCCTAAAATGCCTGGCAAAGTCGTCACAGCGGGCCTTTAAGGGTGGGATCACATCTTCTTTCAGACCTGGGCGAACCAGGCCTTGCACCACTCAAAAGAGCTCCGCCAGACGGCATTGTGAGGAGGCAATGGAAGCGGAAAAAAAATCTCTTTTTTGCCGCCCCAGTCTCGGTATTGGAGCCTGGGGATTTCAGTTAGTTGGTGCATTTGTGGTATCTTTGGCCCAAATCCCCCATGCCTTCAAATCACATTCTCTAGAGAAAATATTTGGGGACATGAACAGCCTCCAAAATCTGGTTGGTGGTTTTCATAAGGAAGAGGCCACCAGAGGTGCAAATACATTGGAGTGCGGGAATGTTACAAGCTCTGGATAAATTGGGGGTTGGCAGAAGACAAAAGCCCCTCTCTGTTAGCTTAACTTGCCAACCAGCTCCTTCCTTTCCCTTCCTAACACTTTTGTTGTGCTCAAAATCCTCTTTCTCCTCCTACTCTTGTGAGCACTTTACTTAATCCACTCCTGCTTGCATTTTCATCCAAAGCATTCTTCTAAAACAGACTACTCATTCAAGTCTGCCGTCTACTGGAACAGTCCTTGCTGAAAATGTAGGTAGTTTGTCCATGCAAAATGCAGTTCTCAAGGAAGGTTTACAGCAGGAGTCCTCAAACTCTTTGAACGGGGGGCCAGTTGAAAAGTGCCGGCGATAGGCGCGGGCCGCCAAGGCGGTGCGGGCGGGGGGTGCAGGATGGGGGTGCATGTGCGCAGAGATCGTTTTCTCCAAGTGAGTCCAAAACGATCTCCTTGTGAGCAAGCCGGTGCCTCACGATGCGCATGCCCAGTGGTGGCTTGTGAGCAAAGAGATCGGTTTGGACTCACGATCTCTGCTTGTGCCCACTCCTTCCCCTGCCCGCCTTGCCGCGCACGTGCACATGGTGAGCTATGGCGGGCCGGATCCAGCCTGCGGGCCATAGTTCGAGGACTTTGTCACACTCACACAAGGTTTGTCAGTCTTGTGCTTATCCGTAGATTGGTAAAATAATGCAATTTTTTCAAAACTAACTTGTGCATTTGAAATCCATGTTTATAATTAATACATGTGCTAAGTATGTGTACTGAAACCCTTGTGTGAGTGTGGATCCTTGGCTGGTAAGTCTTCTGTTGGCTATCGTTGTGCTGTGACCAATATCTAAAGTTTCCTGATGTAAATATGTGTCTTTGGAAACAGGAACTAGGGTATACATATATTTATACTAGCAGCAATACATTTTGAAGCAACACAAACAGAAGGAGAGACCTGGGGATTTTAGCAAAAGCAAGGGACAGGGACAGGAGTGAAGTCCAGGATTAGAAACTCAGGTAACAACTTCCAGGAAACACACAGCAAGTCAGAAAAACTTATTTACTGAGACAGCTTCTGAAAAGAAGAACCAGTTCTTAAATAGCAATTCCCCCAGGGCTCTCCTGGCAGCTGCAGTAGATTGAGGGAATAATCCTGTAACTATTGGGAGTGCTATTCCAGTGCTCAGCCAGCAGATGGAGCCCTGAAGTTGCCTCAGATTGTGACACTCATTCAACTGGGCCTACTACCTTGGCTGATGCTTCACCATAGGGTTGAGAGTAGGGTGGCCTTGGTCTGTGTCTGAGAATTCCTCATCCTCAGAGAACTCTCCCTGGCTACAACATCTTGGTTATTTCCAGAAACTTCCTGACTCGGCAAAGCATCTGGCCTTGAGATAAATCAGCTCCACCTCCTGCATCTCAGAATCTTGACCTAGTCCATCCTACACAATCCCACTGTAATTTGTTTCACATTCCAATTCCTAATCATTTGGGATGCAGCCAGCAGTCCATGAGAATGATTGCCCCAAATGGCCAACCTTCTCACTCCCAACATTAGGTTCTGGAACTCTTCCTAAAGCCACTGAACTTTTACTACCACAGAAACAATTTCCAAGCACAATACATGATGAAAACCCCTTTGTTTGTGTTCATCTAGAAACCAAACTTTATATTTGAAAAATTGATAGGGTAGTTTTACTGTCAGAAGAGTTTTCAAATTTATGACTGCTTTTCATTTGTGCTTTGTTTGGAAATATAATCCTCTGTCTTCATAAATCTGTGCTGTGTGATGCATGGAATTTTGGTTCATCCAGCCAGATGCCTCTTGTGCAAACCTTTCAGATTGTCAGGGCCTGGGATGTGGGTAGCAGGAGATAAGAGAGGCACCAGAACCAGGGCAACAGAAACCAAGGCAATACACAATCCAAAGTCTCCTAGCACGGTTCAATAGCAAGTCCAAGTAACAGTCATAGAACAGGCCAAGGCTACATGACAAGGCAGGATGCGACAAGGCAGAAAAGGAACCAGGGAAGGCAAGGTACAGGAGCTGGACCAGACCACAGCTCGCTGGAAGAACTGTGTTTTTGAGGCAACAAGGGAAGGCAGGTCATGTCAGGAACTAGATGCAGGAGCTGAACCACACTACAGCTTGCAGGAAGACCTGTATTGCTGAGGTGAGACAGCAAGGCAGGATACATAGGATGAGGCAGGATCTGGGTCAGGCAAGATGCAGGCACTACAGCGACAGGAAGGCCTGTGTTGCTTGAAGTGAGTTCTGGAGGAAAAGCCTGGGACTAATCCTGTGACTACTAAAGTGGGTGTTCTGGTACTGGCCACCAGGTGGAGCCCCAGAGCAGCCCAGATCCTGACACAGCTGCTCATACTGCAAGATTATAGTAAAATGTAATAACACAACCATGTCCTTCCTGTTGAAACTTATTGTTATTATTTTCCCTATCCCTTAATGAGCTTTCAACATTATATCTTTACATTAATTATGAATTGACAGGCCCAGAGGATGAAATATTACTGTTATGCGCCATCAAGTTGCCTCTGAATTATGAAGACAGTGATGCTAGGGAAAATTGAAGGGAGAGGGAGATCACCTATGAGATGGATCGATTCCCTAAAGGAAGCCACAGCCTTGAGTTTTCAAGAGCTGAGCAGGACTGTGAAGAACAGGATGTTTTGGAGGGCATTCACTCATAGGGTCACCATAAGTTGCTTCCATTTTCATGATTATGAAAATTTTATTATTATTTTGCTCACCTAAACATCTGGTTGCTGAGCAGAGCAACCCTATGGGCATCCAGGAAGCTCTCTGAAAATCCTATGTGCTGCCAGCAGAGCAGAACAGGAGCAATAGCAGATGAAATCTTCCTCTCCTCCTTCCTTTTTCCTGATATTCTGCTTTTGAGATGTTGAATTGTGCTGTTGGAAGCTAGAAGGATTTAGGCACCTGTGGATCCTTGCCCTGTTCTGTCTCTGCTCTCTTTCTCCCCCTCATCTAGGGTTGGAGCTCTGTATGTGTATGGTGGCTGTGAGGTGTGGGAGGGACAGCCGGAAATGATCCCCATTCAGACCCCCCCCCCCCACCAAAGTTGTTCAAATGTCTGTAGCCTCAGAGAAGTAACTTCCCATTATCCAATGGTTTCTGGAATGTCCTCCCAGAAAATATAGGATTGCTGTCATAGTTTCTGTGTGACGTGTGGAAGACATGAAGTTTCTATGACCAGGATGAAAATACAGATTTTTAGCCTCTTACCAGAGTTTCTTTTCTCTGTAGCCATGTGAGAAATCATATGGACCAGTGGATTAGAGACACAGAGTGTCTGTCCCTCTTCTGCTGGTCCACTTGCTTGCATGAAATTCCTTGTTGCCTATGGTGACCAGGTAAGATGCTAAATCACAGCTGATGTAACAATATTGGAAAGAGCAGTTATGAGTTTAAAGAAATATGGGGTTTTTTTTTTGTAAACTCTGAGCTAGATTATAAACAAGTGCACACAAATTATACCCCTGATCCAATTTCTTTATTACAAAAGATGGATAAGCCTCTTCAAGGTAAATTGTGAGATTTGCTTGGAAGCTTTTGTGTGATTATTGAATAGCACATAAAGATGAATCTCAGCCTTCTCTAAATATTCAGTCTTAGTTGCAAAGTTTATACTTTCTTACTAGAGTTAAATAAAATTTTGCCTGAAAAACATGTTTTTTATTTTATTCAAATAAACAGTGCAACAGTTGCCCAGGCATCACATTAGAAGCACATTTGGAAGACAAATCTTTCAGTCGCCTCATTTTCCTACTTTCATAAATCCTTGCTTTATTTAAGTTAATTGGGCTTTCTGGGATAAGTGTTGCCAGCTGTTCTCAGAGAATGGAAAGAATATCTGGGATTCTGATCCTACTGAGTGAAGTGAGAGAAACAAACAAACACCCCCCCCCCCCACTGTAGAATACTTGTTAAACTCTTGATCTCAGTGGCTCAGTTTGTGCCATCAACTTGACACATGGTGGCTTAAATAAGCCACTGTAGTTTGTAATGGCTATGACTTAGAAAAGAGGTGCCCCCCGCCCCATACTGCCTGTTTGCTCAGTCCCCCCTGAGTCCACCATAACATTTTGCTTCCAAGTCCCATTGCACAGTGAGAACCCTAAAAGGATATCATGGTCATGGCTATCAAAAACCACTGGAAGGCCCTAGATTGCATTCCCATGCATTGCATTCCCATTTAAAGGGAATGATCATCTTTCAGGGCAATCAAGTTATCTGTCCGAAAACCTATTTGGAAGCCAAATTGAAATGAATCCAAATAATCAGAATAAACTTCTTTCAAATGGTTCCTTTGCAACACTGAATGATGCAATACAACTGAAACAGGATGAGTTCTGATTCTGACCCTGTTTTCACCAGGGAGCGCATAATTACATCCTCTTGGATAGTCCTGTCGCTCGAGAACAGCTCTGTCACTACCGGAATGCAGCGGAAATGGCCCGTAGTGAACTTGCAGCGTTCCTGGTAAAGTATGAATGTGCCCAGGCAGAGGTAGGTTTTGAAACAGAGGTAGGTTTCTTCTGTGAAACCACGCATAGGCTGCGCTTGCTTTTGTCACACCGTGTTAAATGTGCCATTAAAAATGGATTCCTTCCACATATGCATGCATACTGTCTTGGCTGCAGCATTCTCTCTGTCTCCTCTAAAGCTTTCTTTCAATCCTTATCGCGCTCTTATTCAGCTATACTTCAGACTACTGAAGTATAGACTACTTCAGACTGTGTGCAGACTACTTCAACCTTATATAAATACATGAAGTGCAGGTGGCAAACTGTGGGCAGCATGGCTGGAGAAGCTGTGCTTCTTTGGATATGGCTGGATTCTAACTGGATTGACCAGTGGTCATGCAGACTGAAACTTATGGAAGTTGGACATCAGGAGTGCCACCTGTTCCCCTGCCTTAGTGTACAGAATTACAACCTTGTGCTTTAAACAGTTTGTACCCATGTTTACCTTTATATTTATCTATTTCAACCTCTCTGTCAAGTGCCTTGCCACTACCAGGTACTTTCTGTAGCTCCCAGTGGCTTCTAGCCACCACTTCACTGTAACAGCTTTGGCATATTTCACCTACTTATCAAGCTTACCTGTGTTCACGATTGAGAGGCTATGTTTTGCATCATGTACTAGTACTAGGACAATACTATAACTAGATGACTAAAAGATTACAGGGCTTGCATTTGAGAAACCATTATAATTTTATTTCAAAATGTTCTTTTTAGTGCGATAATTGGATTTTATTTTTTAAATCCTATTGTTAAATCTGTCTTTTTTCCTTATTAATATTAATGGTGATGTAAACGATTACTGTTGATGCATGTGGTATGTTCTTCCCCTTCTTCTGGGACTCCCTTTTTATTTTGTTGGGTTGCTCTTTTTCATTATTTTTCATAATTATTATGATCATATTGTGAGTCTTCTGATTCTGACGTATAACCTGGATGTCCCAATAAACAGACTGGCAGAGCAGAACGAACATTAAAAATATATGCACATGTGGTTTAAGGGCTTCTTCTGGCTATTGATTTTTTAAAAATCTGTAGTGCTTGGCCAGTTACAGCATGGGCTATGCAGGCACAATAAGTAAGCGTGGCCAATGGCTGCGTTGACTGGGAATGAGGGAAGCTGAAGCCCAACGCATCTTGAGGACACTGGGTTGTGGAACACTGCCCTGGGAAAGTGCTCTGAAGTAGCAGCACAGTAACACAAACAAGCATGTGAACAGTGCTTGCTGTATTGGTGACTACCAAGAAGAAAGATGAAAAGGTTGCAGATTTACCCCTGCCGTAAATTTCTGTGAATAAGGCGGTTTGGATGCACAATAAAAAGCATCTGAAAGCACCATAACTGAGGAGCACCATTACTGTAATAATGTTTAAAAGAGTCTTCCAGGATTTTGCTTCCCGCCTTCCCCCTTGGCCACATTTTCTTTTCTTTCTTTTTTTCCTATGGACAGTCTGTTCCTGGAAAGAGAGTTCTCTTTAATGCATATGCTTCTAATATTGTAGAAGAAGCAAATGCATTCAACTGCTGTTATTGTGGAGTTTGATCATTATTGTTTACTAGTCTTTAGATTGGTTGCATGAATAGTTAATTGTGAATTATGATTCTATTTGTTGCTGCCAGAGTTTAGATCCATTTAATTAACATTTGAGTTAAAAGAGATTTTCTTCTTTTATTGCATCTTGTTAGTATGTTAAGTATAGTTCCCACAATTTTAAAGGGAATACAAGAATTCAGCCTAAATAATGATGTATTATAACATTTGAAGCTTACAAGTTCTTGTGTTTATCTATTCTGTTAATTCTGTAAACAGTTCTTCTGTTATATTTATTGTAAAGTTTAACTGCTCAAATGCTACAAAGGAGGTTGCTCTGTATATTGCTATTCTATATTTCTATTTTAAACTTGTACCCTGAACTGAATTGGACATGGTGATGGGTACATTTTTGGGGGAGGGGTTTATTTTTTAGATTTCTTTCTGGCATGAGCACAAGCCTAAGATTTTTTTGGACTGGATTGAAAGAGCCTGATTATAAGGTACAGGCTTGCAAGCTGACAAGAAGCATTTTCTGTTGAAAACAGTAGGATCCTGCTTAGTAGAAACTGGCTGGAACCCCTCCCTAACTAGAGCGTTAACAGTGTGTTCCTATGCATGTCTACTCAGGAGTAAGTTGATAGAGGGACTGGGCTCACTTCTCCCCAAATGCAGCTTTTCAAGTTGATTACCTCAGGGCTGAATCTGAACTGGAAGAAGTGGGGTCAGAATTCTTGGCTGTCATGCCAAGGCAGCATGCTGGAAGGTGCTCTTGGCCATGGACGCCATCTGAGACTTCAGGGGCAATTCCAGACTCAGGAGCACTCCCAAGCTGCTCACGCTATTCTTTAGTGGGAGTGCAGCCCCATGTGGGGCAGGGCAGATATGCTTCCCCTGGAGTGAGGCTCCCCCCACCAACAGCACCTCCTCCTCGTCTGGATTAAGCTGCAATTTATTAGCCCTCATCTAGTCCATCACTCCAACCAGGAACCGGTTCAGAACTGTCACTGTCCTACCTGAATTAGATGTGAATGAAAGGTAAAGCCCCAACTTCCAGATGACCTCTCCCAGCAGTTTCACGTAGGTGTTAAACAGCATGGGGATAGGATGGCATAATTGCCATGGGATCGAGGTGCTATCCCCCAGCAACATCTTCTGGAATCAGCTGGTCATATAGGAACAGAGTCACTGGAAAGTAGTGCCTCCAATTCCCAGCCAACCAACTTACCTATCCAGAAGGATACCATGGTTGATGGTATCCAAAGTCACTGAAAGGCTCAGGAGAACCAAAAGGGACACATTTCTCTTTCTCCCAGCAAAGGTCATCTCGCAAGGCAACCAAGGCAGTTTCAGTCCCAAAACTGGGCCTGAAGCCAAACCTAAATGGATCCAGTTTCCTCCAAGAGTGCCTGGAGTTGCCTGTCCACCACCCACTTGAATGCCCTGCCCAACAAGGGAATGTTTGCCACAGACCTATAGTTGTTAATGTCTTCTGGGTCTTCAGGAGGGGTCTGATCACCAGCTCCTTTAATGGAGTCAGGATCAGCCCTCCTTCAGAGAGGCATTTATGACTGTCTGGACCCTGGACTGTATTCTCTCCTTGGCTTCAATGACCAGTCCATTAAAGGGACTACATCAAATGTGGTATCTAATTCGTGCTGAATCCTAGTGACTTAATCCAAAATGCTGTGCAAATTTGTCACAGTGGGCCACCAAGTCTTCTGTCTGATCCTCTTTAGAGCCAGCATATAATATTGCACCATCTAAAATGTTGTGCCTCATAATGTCATGCAATTCTTTTAAAATTAAATGTAGTGCTAACAAGGATCAATATTGGGACTTTATATATGGAAAGCATGTTCTGTATTGCCAAATTCCCTCCCTTCTTGATGTGTAGATATACTGTGGCACATCGAAATTCTATAATCCACTTCTTTTTATAGATTCTAGATCTTAAATCCACGTTAGCCTCTAAAGACATCTCTATCCAGGACCTGAAGGCTGAAGTTGGGAGCTATAAAGAAAATGATGCTAGGCAATCGTCTCTCCTCTCCTCCATGCAAAGCAGACTCCAGGAGATGGAGAAGGAATCTGGTACAATTGCCATGTCTAAAAAACAAGTGGACCTAAAAGCACAGGCCATTCTTCAGGAGAATTTAGAGCTGAAGGAAAAAGTCCATGAACAAGAAGTTCAGATCAGGTAAGGACATTTGATGACATACATTTAGAGACAGAGGGGGATCATGTAAGAAGACCTGGATTTGTTTCAAGAGGACAACAGGCAGAATAGATAGGTAATGTTTAATAATAAATAAATTGACATATAAACCTGAAATAATTACCTTATTAATGTCGACTCAGGCAGCAGAATGTCATGGGACAGCTGTGAATATTATTTTATTCCTCAGAGTTGTTATATTTGGCAAAAATTGTAATACCTTCTGGGAGGCTTTTCTCACTGGAGAGCAAACTGCTCTGCTATTGTGATACCTTCAGACCCCTTTTTTCATATAGCTTTGTTCCAGTAAGTTCCTTTTAGAAATATCAAAAGGGTTATTTTCTGCCATCCCTGCCTTTGGCATAACATTGGTAACTTTTCCTAACTTTGTCAGAAAGGGGGTACCCATGTCCCAGAATGATTTCCTGCATGTTTGAAATACTGAACTCTCTGCAGAGAGTAGTAGTGCAATCTGAGGATATTATGAGTATATTTGATCAAAGTCAGGGGTTCTACAGGAGCCTGGACCACTCACTTAAATGTTTATGCTGTCATTGTTTGCTTCCTACTCACCTAACATGTTACAACTTTTGCAGGACATCAACTTTTGAACTGGACAAATTGTTTTGGAATTACACATTTTTCCTTGGACCTGGACATTTCTTGTCTGGTCACACATTTTAAAACTCCACATTGGCAAATATACATTGCATTAAATAATGGCAAATATGAATTTTGTGAAGCAAAAATAGTACTGATTGAACATGGGAAGCTCTCGAGAATATCAGATGAAAAGGAATAGCTATGTAAGATACTATGATTATTTATTTATGGATTTATTAAACCTATATTCTGCTGTATTGGCCCAAGGGCCCTCTAAGCAGATTACAATGAGATAAAAACACACTATAACAATAAAAGCAAACAGTTAAAACACACAACAATAAATAAAAATAAAACAAAACTGTACACAGCTGAGGGATAATTTAACACAGTGTAGATTAAAACAACTAAAATTATCAAGATAAAATCATTTTTAAAAATGCCAAAAATACTATATATATTCACCAGAGAAAAATTAACTACATTAGATGCATAACAGCTACAAATATGGATAACTGGGGCAGAGTAACTAGTTGTTGGAATAATTATTATCAAACTATACAAAGGTTAAATATTGTGTTACAAATGCTTTATTAAAATGTTTGCTGTTGCTATGATATTTAATTAAAAATGACAGGAACTCTGCCCTGCCCCAATCCACCTGTTAGGCTGCTGTGCTGTTGCTGCTAATGAAGCAACTCTTGTTCATACCCTGTAGAATAACTAAGACATTATAAGGCAAACACTGTGGGAAGATACTATACATCCTTGTTCTTGATCTTAACATAATTTTGGGCACTGATGTGTGTGTCTTACAGTCAAGTTTGGTGTGTGTCTGTCCTATACATTATTTATTTATGTTTTGTTTCCTATTAGAAAATATTTGAATGAGTCTGAATCAGTGAAGATCCAAGCCTCTCAGGCTAGCAGGCAGCATAGTGAATTTATTACCCAGCTTTGTCATTTTTTTGACATGGACCTCAGAGGGAAAGAAGAACCACAGGAACATTTGCTCTCAAAGGTTTTTGATTTATAGATTTTAATTATGAAATTTAACCAGATTTGGTATATAGCATCAAACTCCAGTTTTTACTGTATCCTGTGCAGACATGTGAAGAGTCCACTGAGAAACTATGACATTTTTACAGAAAAAAATGTGTTGTGAAGTCTGAAACCGCAATACATTTGTCATGGACTAGGAAAACCTAGTTTGCAGGAACAGGCATGGTTCTGCAAATTAAGAAGGGGAGCTCCAAATTCACATTGCAAGCAGATTTGCTGCCAGAGGTACTCACTGGCTTAATTCAGACAATCTTGGAATAAACCACAGTGAATAATTGTGAATAAATCAGAGTGAGCCTCAAGCTCACAAGTGCTTTTTCTCCTTCTCTTCTTTTTCCTGAAAGAAGAGAAGAGTGAAAGCTTCTCTGTCAATTCAGAACAAACCGCAGTTCCTTGTTACATCCAAACTGTGGGAACTGGGCTTTATTCTAATGAAAAATTAATTTAAGCTAGTCAGGATTAAAGTGGAGTTTTATTCAAGGGAAGTGGGAGCACACAAGTCTGAGGGTCACTTCAGTTAATTCCCAATCACCAAAACCACTGATATTGTTTATTATAAACTTTGATTATTTTGCCTTATTTCAATGACTTCTATAATAAAATATGTTAATTATTTTATGTCACTCATGATAACTGAGTAACAAAAATGGAGGTAGAAAATGGAAACTTAGAAATCTATTTCTTAGGACTTCTCATAGCAACATAAGTAAGATAAATTATTTTATCTTGTAATTCATCCTAAGGAAAAACATTGGAGAAAGAGGTGTATTTATTATAGAAAGCAGGAATTACAATTAATTAAGGCTGTGTTCTGTGCCATATTCAAGGACTTGAAGGCTATAGGAGCAAGCCAATATTTCTGCACAGGTCCAGATTAATGTTTTCAATCTCACTGTGATCTCTAGATCAAATGGGTTTTGGAAGGCTTTGATGTGCTTCCAAATGTGGTAAAGGATATATGACCAGCAACCAAAGTGGGACAAAACTGAACAACAGCAAGAACCTGTGTACCGTTGGGCAATTGTAGCTTTCTTGTGCTGCCTTAAAAACTCAGAAAAACTGTTGTTTGTGCAAAGAATGATTCTTTGTGAACAAAGGCTTTTGATCCCAAGTAGAAGGCTTCCTCCTACTTCCTACAGTGCCACATGTTGAGCTGAGTAGTGCAGAGGAGCTTCAAAAGTTCAGAACTATTTAAGACATAGTTTAAAGAAAGAAAAGGAAAATAAATTCAAGCTTACACATCTCCACATGGTCAGAACTCTACAGTTCCTCTGATGTGGTATATACTGTATCATTGCCCCAAATTTACCATTCATGTTTCATCTTTCCCTGCAGTAAATAGCAGCATACTCCATCTTTTGCATGGAATATTTTGTATTCTGGACATTACCAGAGGTCAAGAAAAGAACTTAAGCGACTCCTTGACTTTAACATCTATAAAATTTAGCTGCTCTGCTCAGTTTGCAAATTATTTTTTTAGCAGCCCTACCATTTCTTACATGCTTCACAATAAAGTTCATTACAGAAATGACACCAAAGCTCTAAACACAGCTGGATCCCACCTCAAAGGCCAGTAGTGGAAGGATGGTACAACAGTCCCCCAACAACATTAAGCCCCCCTGCTGGACCTACAGAAGGGCCTGAGCCCCTGTAACACTGTGCTTCCAAGTCCTGCTCTGTAAAAGGCTGTCACTGGATCAACAGCTACTGAGAGGTCCAGGAAAACCAACCGTGCTGTGCTTTCCTTGTCCACCTTCCAGCTGGAGTGGTGGAAGGTGGACATCAGTCTTGGTCAGCAGAGTGACCAAGACTGATCCAGTCTCACAGCCAAGCTGAAAGATGAGCTGGAACAGTTCTGAACAACCATGTATTTCATTTCTGTGCTGTCAAACTGAATCTATCTGGGCCATAAAAACAATACAAGAAAATACTGTAGAATCTTACCAAAGACAAACATTTCAAAACACAAGTTTAAAAGCAGCTAAAACAACATGCAATGAGGAGCTGCCCTGTGAAAACACCTGGCATGGCTAACCCTCTCAAGCCCTTGGATATTCAAGGATACCTTTCAGCCTCTGTATAAAAGACCATCTTAACTTAGCATCAGAAAGTTGCCAAGATTGACACTAAGTGGGCTTCAATGGGGAGGTCATTCCAGAGATGGGGGGGGCACTGCTGAAAAAGCCCTCCTTTTTGTTACCCTCCGAGCTTCCCTGAGAGTTGCCACTTGTGTTGTAAACATGACTGGTTTTGCCATATTGATGACATGGTCTCCAGTGATCCTGCCTGAACAGTAGAGGCATCCAAAGGTGGGATAATATCCCATCTCCGGACCCTCTTAGTTAATTTAAGCTCCTTTCTTTAGGGTTTAATCAAAGGAAGTAAGATGACTGACTGCTATGCTGCATGCACATACAAGACCCCACTCATTCCATTATATTTTTTGCTCCTAAACCTAAACAGGATGTCACAGGGCCATTATGAGACATCTGTGTCACCATATACACACTTTGGAACTCCCATAATTGCTGCAGTACCAAACTTGTTTTATTTATGAGCAAGCACATAAATGAAATTGCTTCAGGATAAGCGACACATGGATTACAATCAATCTCTTTATGCTACAGTGTAATTTAATGTGTGCTTTAGTTTTTTGCTAAAATCATTGAGGCTTGAATGAGCTTAACTGGCTGAATTGTGGTATTAATTTTCAACAATATTATATATAATACGATAAGCAAGATCATTTAAATGTATATAGCAGCTGTCTGATGGTTAAGGGGAAGCCCTATATTAAATAACCAGTTTTAAGTAACTACCTGATTATCATGCTTCCAGATCAGTGGCATGCATGAAGAGATTGCAACACTGAAAGAACAAATTGCCACATTCAAAGAGACTGCAAATGTTCATGAGATGGAGTTAAAAGCCAATAGAGAAACCATCATGAGGCTTGTTTCAGAACTGAGCAAAGAGCAGAAAAAGACAGCAACCTACTCCCAAGATATGGAAAAGCTAAGTGAAGTGTGTCCTTTTAATATGGTTTTCTCTTTCCCTGTGTAAAGACTTATTTTGAAGAGTTCTAGACGATCACTTTGCACAAGTGTTTATATGTGTGCAGTGGACTCCTTTGAAAGATATATCATAAAACATTGTCAGCTAGACAAGATGGTAGAGATAGGGCATTGGATCACCCGTCTTTTTATATTTTAGCAAATGCTAGGCACAGCAGTCTCTGATTCAGACTGGGATGACAGTGCTGGGTAAAAGGGGGATTAACCCCCTAAGAAAATGCCACCACTTAGAAGCTGCTATTTGTTGTCTCAGGAGAAATATGTAGACATGCTTTAGGAAATTGCACTGTAAGTTATGGTAAAAATGCCAAAGGACTGCAGATTTCTCTGAAGTTTCAATATTAGGTTGTGGGCAAGAACCCCCTTTTCAGTTGTCATTTAAAAAATAAAATTGAGAATTTTCTTGCTTCGGTAGCACAGACAGGTGTAATTAGGGAAAGTCTTTACTCTGTACTAACTAGATGCATTCACTTCTCACACATGGATTCTAGGTAGGGCATAATTTTCCCATTTCCATTTGAGATTTTGTGGTATATCATTTTGATGTTCTGATTCAGATACAAAAGTGTCTAACGTATTTGAGCATAGCTACAAAATAGCCAAGGGGCTTTTAATTCAGAGAGTTTCCAAACAACGTCCCTCATACTGGCCAAAAGGTAAGAAAATGTGATTGTTTGCCAGGCCAAGCCAAGCCAAGCCAAGCCAAGCTAAGCTAAGCCAAGCCAAGCCAAGAAAAGAACATGACTAGAGTAATTCTCAGTGCAGGAAGAGTCCAAAAATTATTGAAGCAGATGTCCAAGGATGTAAAAAAAAAAGTCTTGAGCTACTCAGCTGATCTGGCTTAAATTAACATCTGATTATATCTAATAGATTTTAAATGGGTTAATGCTTTTACAGTGGGTTATTAACTGGTTTAGTGCTTTTAAAAAAAGGAGCGACATCTATCTTGTGACTTTTGGTGAAAACATTTCAGGGGCACTTCACGATATAAAGTGTTTTGTGTGTGTGTGTCTGAATTAATTGTAATATAAATTAATTAATTGTAAATTAAGCCATGCGTGGTTGTTAATGATAGGACCCTATCACAGAGGCAAGTTCTGTTTGTCATCTGGGCATGCCAACAAATGTAGATTCTTCCCAATCTAGCAATCCATAGCATACATACAATCATATCTGAGCTAAATTAAGTACAGTCCAAAAACTTGGAAACTAATAGTGATCTTACTTGGAAGGAAAGGAATGTTCTTGTGTGGGATAAATGGTTAATTATTGGATTTACAAAATTATGGGGCACATGTCGTACATGATTTTATTGTAGTAAGCAAGATTCTATGGGGATGGAAAAGGAACTCAAAATGGTTCTTCTTACATCTCTCGTGTAGTTTTAACCCTAAGCCCAAGCCCTGAAAAGTAGCTGTAATAGTTGTCACTTATGATTAGAGGAACTCTGGTGTACTTACAGATTCTTTTAAAGAAAGGGAGTTGGTCCTTTGAATGATATGCCTTACAAGTATGCACTTCCTACCAAAGTAAGTCTTGCCACCAGCCAAAGAAAACCACAATGGAAAATTAAGTTATGGTAGTAACTTAATCTACAATTGTAATATTTTGTTTTATTGTGGATTGTCCATTAATGTTTTATGAGACTTGGGAAACATATAAACAGACCTTAATTTAAAACGATTTTGAATACTAACATTCAAAACACAGGGCTGTCATTACTGATCATTGCCTTCTGCTTTCAGTCTTGCTGTAGGGGAGAAAACTCTGCAGTAGATAGACATAGTGTGACTTGAGCCAATTGCTGAACAGTATCAGGACCTTTCCAGACATTCTTAACTCTGCAGAAAGATTATGTGCTGGTAAATGGAGCAGCTAGGAAGGGATGCAAGTTTGGTGGAACCACTGCTTGACAGCTGTTGCTCAATCCTGTCTTCCCAACTAGTCTGACAATCAAAGATTTTTCTGATGAGTTTGGAAGCAACTGTACTAGCATTGCAGGTACCCAATAGTGGGAGGGTCCATAACTTAGTGGTTGTGCAGGGGTTTTGTACGCAGAAGGTCCCAGGTTTGATCCCTGGCATCTCCGGGCAGGGCTGAAAAGAGCTAGAGAACCACAGCCAGTTGCTGCTGGCAGAATGTGGCTCAATGGCCCAACTCAGCATAAGGCAACTTCCTATGCTCCTTTATTGATCTGAAGTTGCTCTTCACCTGAAAGGATTTCCAGAATGGTTACATATAATCAGTTAAGCAAGATCATCTCTCTCCATAGTCTTAGGACATAAAAGGATATGATGCATAAGGAGGAAAGAATGGGGAGGGGGAAAAAACTTTTTCAGAAAGTGGGATTATCAGTTTTATTTCCTTTATTAGATTGTATTCAATTACTCTCCAGTATCTATATAAACATATACAAATTCTGTAACAAATAGTTTGCAGTTATAGACATACCAAGCAACCTATGGTTTGTGCAAACCTTCGTTTGTTGTACAGAACACAGGTTGAACTGGGTTTAGATTCCTGATCCACAGAAAATTCATTTCCACAAAAAATAATTTTCCTTTTTTGGTGTCAGATGAGTCATTGTGTTTCTGCTATTTCTTGTTCAAAGGTTAACTTTCTGATTTGTGGGCTGTATACTGTGATAAACATACAGCTGCATGTAATGCTTACTTGGATTGCAAGCAGAAAATATGTCTTTGACCACAGGGTTGCAACTTGAGTTACAGTATAACTACTGGAGAATGCTTTAAAAATCCAACCAGCCAACTCTCTGATGTTTGACATGAACATAAGTCCGGGCCCAATTTAAGGTGCTGGTTATAAAACCCTAAATGGCTTGGGTCTGGGATTCCTGAAGGAGCACCTTCTTCCCTATGTGCCCTCCCACCCCTCGAGAACTGAAGCGGAAGTCCTGCTCCGGGAGCCCTCCTTGAATGAGATTAGGCAGGTGAATACCTGGAGGAGGGACTTCTTTGCGGTGGTGCCCGACTATGGAATACGCTCCCCAGAGAGGTTTGCCTGGCACTGACGTTATATTCCTTTCGGCGTCAGGCAAAACCCTTGTTATTTTAATGTTTAATTGATTTTAATTGGGGATCAGTTGTCGGATGCTGTGGTGTTTGTTTTATTGCACTCATTTTTGGTAAGCCGTCCCAAGATGCTTGTAGTGGATGGACTAGAAAAGCTTTTAATAAATAAATGAATAATAAACAGAAAACTTTTTTTGTTAATTTCCAATCTGAAATACAAGCAAAATAACACTACCTTTAAAATACAAATATAAAACATTTTGACATACAATAAAAATAGTAACTACTGTGCTCCCTCATCACCAGGACTGAGGATACATGTCACAATTCAAACAAACAAACAAAAAAGCTCTTCAAATATTTCAGACATTACCCCCTTTCAAAACTGTAATGATTCTTTTGACGGCTCAACTCCTTTCCCTTTCTTCAAAACATGTTCTATAAATACATCTCAAATATCATTAAACTTATTTTCTTTATATGACATTTTCTCACTTTAATATAACGTGTTAATTTGTCATTATTAGCTATATTCCAAACTTCTCTATACTAATCATATTTTATTTTCCAATTCTTAGCTATAATTAGTCTTGCTCCAGTTGTTAAAGTAACAGCGCACTTAATCCTTTGCATTGGGTGGGCAAGTGAAACTGCTGGGACAGGTCATCAGGAGATTTGGGCTGCGGAATCATCAGTATGCTGATGACACCCAGCTCTACCTCTCTTTTTCAACCGATCCAGGTGAGGCAGTGGCTGTACTGAACCGGTGCCTGGCTGAGGTAATGGGCTGGATGAGGGCCAGTAAACTGAAACTTAATCCAGACAAGACGGAGGTCCTGTTGGTGAGTGGATCGAACTCCTGGGTAGGTGACTTGGGCCTTGTCCTGGATGGGGTTGCACTCCCTCTAAAGGACAGGGTCCGCAGCTTGGGAGTGCTCCTCGACCTGGAGCTGTCCTTGGAAGCTCAAGTGCTGCGGTGGTGAGGAGCGCTTTCCTTCAGCTTTGGCTAATCCATCAGCTGCGTCCCTACCTGGAGGAAGATTGCCTAGCGACAGTGACACATGCACTGGTTACTTCCCGGTTGGATTTCTGCAACGCGCTCTATGTGTGGCTGCCCTTGAAGACAGTCCAGATAGTTTAGATGGTGCAAAATAGAGTAGCCAGGTTGCTTACGGGGACTGGACATTATTCTCATATAGCCCCAGCCCTCTATCAGCTTCACTGGCTTCCCATCGAAGTCCGGGCTCAATTCAAGGTGCTGGTTATTACCTATAAAGCCCTTAACGGCTTGGGACCTGGATACCTGAAGGAACGCCTTCTTCCATATTTGCCCTCCTGCCCCCTGAGATAGGCAGCAGAGGCCCTCCTCCGGGAACCCTCCGTGAAAGATATTTGGAGGCAAAGTACCCGGAGGAGGGCTTTCTCTGCGGTGACGCCCCACCTATGGAATGCGCTCCCCAGAGAGGTCCGCCTGGTGCTGTCGTTATTTGTTTTTCGGCGCCAGGCTAAGACCTTTTTATTTCAGCAATATTTTAATAAGTTTTAATATTGTTTCCTATATGATTTTAACTGCAGCCAGTATGGGCCGGTAATTTATTTATGTTATGTTTTATGTTATTTCATTTATGTAAGCCGTCCTGAGGCTTTTGCGACAGGACGGCATATAAATATTTTAAATAAATAAAAAAAAATAAGATTGGAAGGCTGCTTTCATAGAAAATCTCACATTAGGTATGAAAGTAAGGCTTGTTTTTCTGTAAATTCGTGTGTGGGGGGAATGTGTGTGTGTTTTAATGTAGCCGTACCAAGCAGTACTTTCTGTCATGTATGTTACTACTCGTTTACTGCTCTCCAAGAATATTTCACATTGCCAGCCTGTTCAAAGGGAAAAGTATCCATAACAAGACAGGCAGTTGCT